ATCGAGAACGAGATTCTACAATTGATGTATTCCATTTTTATAAAACTCGATGATTTTGATTACAGCTTGTCAAAATATTTTATTTTTTTTCTCACAGCCACGACTTTTAATTTTATTAAAAAATTGATTTTTATTGTTTCGAGCTTTAAAACGATATAAGCTTCGAAACGTTCCAACTTTTGATCCTCCTCTTCCAATTTCTTCGCTTCACCCATTTGCACTCGAATATATGAAAATTGTGGTTGGAGACTCCGCTTCCACTTTCGCCTTTAATTTATTTTTATTTAATACGGATTTTTGGTCTATCTCGAGGCTTATTTTCAAGATTCTCGTTTCCACGCGTGAATTTTTGAATCGATAGAATTTTCTCCAAAAGCTAATCTCGTACAGGAATTTCTCATATAACAATTAAAAAAAAAAAATTCAAAAAAAGAATTTATTACATAAAGGAAATATAAAAGGACAATGTAAAAACATGCTAATTAAAATATATAGTTAAGTAGAATTTACAAGTTGCAATTGATTTATTCTAAAATTTCAAAACCCAATATAATCATTATCCCGAATATTTGAATATTTTTGAGAAATATTAACAAATTGATATGGATATTTACTACGTATATTTCTCTTTCGATATCAATTTTATTTGCAAAAATTGAAATATATATAATATAAATAATTCGGGGAAAAAATCCTCTTCATTTGGAATTGAAACAATCGGTCCAAAATATACACAAACGCGAAACCACTCTTCTTTCCAGAAAGGAAAGAAAAAGAAAAAAAAAAAAAGAAAGTCACCGGACACCATTCTCGAAGCTTCGAAGCCTTCCTTTCTCGAACAGAGCGAGCGGATCTTTTTCTTCCTCCAATTTCTTTCCTCTTCCCCGACGGGGAAAGAAAGAAGAAAGAAGAGCGGTAATTAAAGAAGGATCGGGATATCAAGGAGCGGTCGAATTTCAGCCGAGCGGTTGAATTTTCTCGCGTCATTAAACCGCGAATGAACAAAAAATGGTGTATACTTAGCAGGAGAGGGGCGGAGGAGAAGGAGGAGCGGGGGAGAGGGGAGCGGAGCGGAGCGGAAACGGAGAAATTGGGGGCGCG